ACCTCAGATACGACATGATGAACGCGGCAAGATTCCTGGGATTTTGCAGACGAGCGAAGAACTGGCGATACGAATTCACCAGATCTTGAGAATAAAGGTCCAGATTTCGACCAAAATGATGCCACATGAGATATTCAACAGTTAAACTAGTCATTCCTCTGTTACGAAGGTAGTAGATGTTGGCCTAAAAAACATGATGGATTAAAATTAAGAAATAACAAAGTTGAAGCACGACTATTCGACTGCAGTTTTGTTTCATCAGTCTCGTTCTTCGAAAGATCTCTTGGCATTTTGCTTGCGTTAAGTTCTGCATAACAGACTATTGCACGGATATCTCCGATTCTTTTAATTCATTCGAACTATTGCCGATGAACAAGCAGCCGTTGTCCTTCTTTAAAGATCATGAAAAAATGAACGACTCGTCCAAAACCAGATTTCACGGCGTACTGCACCGCTCCTTGCTATCTAGGATGCCATTTAAGCAGGCCACCGCTTAATAATGTTTGAGCACTGGCAGTGTCAGATGCACCTTGAGTCATTTTCTCATCTAGAGTCATCTCGCCCTCATGACGAATGATATTTCAGCTCTTATTCCTCATATACTATCACATAAACATCATAAGCTGTTCGTACGCGTACGTCAAATAACGAATAAATCCTTCAAGACCTGGATCGAGCGAACAAAATGTTGCGAAATGCATGTGCCACTGCAGGTGCTCAAATACCACGAGGCCGTGGCGACCTATTTAGATGCGCCCAAGCAATTAGGAGCAAGGGGATGGTGCAGTACGCCGTGAAATTTGGCCTCTCAAATTCGATTCATACTCAGGAGCGTAAGAAGGTCATGGAGATTCTCATCCCAGCGACCCTGAAAAACTGGCAAGTGGCACGACGCAATTATGCCCAAAATTGAAGCAGATTAATTGGAAAAATGGGATGGGCAGTATATTCAACGAGTTTGGTTCAAAGGAAATTTTTGACGGCTGTACAGTGTGGGGAAACGAACTACGCAGTCACAACCATTTCGATACTATCTTCGAGGGCATTGAAAGAATTAAATCAATTTACTTGTGTCTCTGAAAAAATCCAACAAGTTTTTATTCATCAGACGAAGCGCGGCAATTACCATTAAAAATGACAAAGCAGGGAGGAGAACGCAAAAAATAATATCGAGTCTGCTTATGCAAAACCAGTTCCATACATTCGGCTTTCTTTCTCACGATCGATGAAACACCTGACTATGAATAGGAAGACCTGACCTTCAGGATAGGAAAGAAAGGTCTGTCACCGCTGGAATGTCAGTCTTCCATCACTTTCATGATTGGGCCATTTTGATGCCTTTCTTTTATTGACGCTGACGGTGCTGTGTTGACCTCCGTTTCTGTCATCAGTCAGGGGTGTCTTATTTTAAAAGCAGGGTCTGCAGTTATGTGGCAAGTGTGGTATGTAGTCTCTTGTTTCCTTCTCACAGCGTTACTCATTTATCAACCGCGGAAGAAAGAACAGCGAGTGATCTGGAACGGGGCTTGAATTCGAGACTTATCGGTTCTGCGTTCGGCGCTCTACTGACTGAACAACCCCGGTGTGAAGTAATATGTGGTTGATTCACCGCTTAGAGAAATTTGTGAATAAGACAAAAGATTGTCCTCGAAATATATCGAACTCGGGATTCCGCAGTCCGAAGCAGACCTCTATGATAACTGTGCCACTGTGTTTTTATTGACCTTCAGAATGTTTCGTGGCGACATGCACGGAAAGTATTCCGCCCTGGTCGAGTGTGTTAGTGATCGACATGCGGTGGAGATGCTGATGCAAGGGAATACAAGCGATAAGTAAGGTCGCAAAGAATATTTTACCTTGATTTAATGTTTTCTACTTTAACCGGTGTCAAAGATAACAGACACGGTGTTAAGCAAAACTGCTATCCACAAGTATAAGTTAATTCAATAAACTTTGTTAATAAGGTTCATAATATTCAAAACTTAATTTTAAAAACAAAATCCAATAATCTACTTTGTCAACAAAACCGTTGCTTTAGGCACAATAGAGACCTGCATCTGTACCAACCTAAAACCATAAATTTGTTGAAAAGGTTCATATTCGTTAAAACTGCTGTTTCGGTCAACGGGACAAACAAAACACTAGATCGTAATTAGCTATCTGAACGAACACGAGTGCAGTATTTGCGTAAAGTGCAGTATTTGTCATGGGTAACATAAGGTGAGAGACAAGCAGAAGGTTACACCAAGTGCAGCGGGAACAATAAGCGGAAGAAACTAAACTTGAGGGTATAATCTGTCAGAGAACAGGCTACGTTTATGTCATGCAAAATCTTTGGGAGCAAAGTTTTGAATTAAGTTACGTTTGCGATCGCAACACTCTGCAATTGCAGATGACAACAAATAATAAATTTAAGCAACTTATGATTTTACTTAAAGTTAATAAAGCTGAAAGAAGAAAAGACGAAACAAAGCAGGAAAACCGAAAAACGAAAGTCTCATGTAGTCGTGCGGATGCCAGTCGCCGTTGCAATATCATGAATAAGAGCTACTTCTGATACTGTTCTTTCATACAGTTTATGGCGCAGCGCCAATCACTGTTTAAGAGACAGCGGGCAGAATGCCTCATCGCTGCCTGTTTTAAGCTACATCTGCAGATGTGACCAATACAGCTGTCTGCTGTTTCCTTCCCATCAGTTGGCACTGGTGTGTCTACCACGAAAAGATAATGGCCAGTTACAAGACCGCGGCTCGAAATAAGTACCTGTCGATCCTGAGTCTAAAGCTACGTCGACTGAACGAACTCCAATGATGAAACAGTACAGACTATCAACTAATGATAGAAAAACTCATGCCATCGCGGTCGAAAATCATATCGATCAAAGCAAGCATAAGCCATGGCTAACTTATCAATCACAGACTGTAAAATAACCCGACCTAGTATAATGTGCCATCACTTTCTGTCATGACCGGAATATATCGGTTATGTGCAATGAATATCAATAACGACAACGTCAAATTACAGAGATACTGAATTCTTAAAATCATCATCAGTTTCAACTATGATAAAGCATAGATCCATCGCTTCTGGAGCAATTTTGTGCCACCTTTGCCAGAGGACAGATAGTTTGCGCAACGGTACTAACACCGATTACATTAAATTGATTATTACGATACTTGCTACACGGCTGAACATGAGAAAACTGTATACAAACGATTCTGCCCAACGGCAGTGAAACAAGGACCAACGCCGCATCATAAGCCCCATTTAAAACAGATACTCATCATTGAAGTGCAAGAGAGACAGATACCTAAACAATTACAGACTTTTCTTTCCCTCCTCTGCCGAGCATGAACGAACAGCACCGTCTAACTCAGAACATGATGTGATGACAGTTGTGTTAATGCACATCTGAACGAACCATTTACATCGTTTATGTGAACGTACATGAAAACAAAAAATAGAAAATCTGAAAAGAAAAGCTTTCATCATTTCAATCAGTTTCAAAATCATTTCAGATTTGCTCGGCGTAAGAGGACCGCTCCATTGCTGCTAGACGCACAGGAACACCAGTTAAGAGCGACGGTCCCATGGTACCTGAGCACTTGTAGTGCATCGCTTGCAGGACCGATCATCCCTGATCTAAGCATAATGAAGGCTCGTTCGAAAACCAACTAAATTTTCCACCATCTGTAGGCAAATACATAATATAAGCCAAACAAAACCTCGTGGTTTTGGGATAACCACCACAAACAGTATCCTTTCAATTCCGGTAATTATACCAGTTCAATTCATAATGACAGATTCACTCGACGTAAGTGCACCATCCTACTACCTTCACACGCTTAGGGGATCATTTAAGCAGGTCACGACAGTATGCTATTCGAGAAACTATACTGCATTAGAAGAATTTTTAACTGACTAAACTTACATTAGATGCAAATGTCAAACGCTGAGAAATCTGTTAGGGGCTTTCGTTACGTGACGGTCATACTCACAGTCCTCCCGTCTGAATATTTTTATGGCCTTCTATCGAGCAAACTGAAAGACAGGAATATTGTGTAGGCAACTAAACAAATAACAACCGTCAAATCCGCAAACCGAACTGAGGGGTAGTGAAATGAATTAGATTACAAGTAGAAAGTTAAAAGCAACTGTGCGTGAAGCGACCCTTACGGCAAAACAATATAAAATGCGCTATGGCTCAGAAACGAAGCGGCCGTGGTGGATGCTATGTGGCACTTCAGACAATCGTGGTCAAAGCAATTACCTTCTGGTATCCCCATTCGATCCAACCAGCCTGGGTACAAACGCAGTTTACAAGAATGAGGGATTCGACCGATTTAGGGTAGTTCAGCTAAACGAGTCCTGGGTCATTCATATAGCAAGTACGCAAAAGCTTGCCACTTACGCTATACCGACAAAGAACGTTTGCTCCAGCGCCGACTCCAAATCCAATGAAACGTTCGATCCTGCAAGGCAAAAACGTAACTACTAGGTACATATGCATCGAACGAGCCATTTATTAAGTCACATCCGATGGTTCCGCCATAAGCCAATAAGTGCATGCATTCACCGACCAAACTATAGATGCAATTTGATAAAGGTCTACAAATGTCAGAACAACTGTCGACCATCTAATCGGCTAACAGCAAGCTTAAGTATAGAGGTAGCTTGCGAAGGGAAGAAATCATTTACTTGAAGTGATCGGTCACGACCTTCACCAAGTCCGCCAACTCATCCATAGTCGGATAGATGTAGCTGAAACGACAAAGCCACATGACGCTCATCGTTCGAGACGCACGTTACTTGCCTGTCAGGAAATGGTTCGGCGTCCTCCTCTTGTCCGGGCGCATTAATATGATAAACGCAGAACTTTTCAGATATAGTGGACATTTCACTAAAATGGAAAAAGCTCTGGAAACAGGGGTTCGCTGAAAACGCAAATGCCGTGAGGTAAGAGTCGAGAAAGTGAGCGTACTGCCTACCGCTGAGGCCCAGATCGTGAAAGGTTACGATCGCCTGTTTCTTGTGGCCGCCAACAACGTACACGCTGATATCGCCGAACTTTGTCTTCACCTTAACTTCTTCGAAGTCTTTGGAAGACTCCTGCTTCGATATCAGTAAACTTGAAAGAGTGTCTGGTTTTCCGAGTTCAATGTCTTCCATTTTTCTGAAAAGAAAATAATAAGGGTCAGAAATGCAAATATCCAGTATCGAAACTGACGTAAGAAGCAAATGATTAACTTCAAGGAAAAAACAAATTTTGTCTACACACAAATGGATTGGCGACAGGGACAGTGCAATGAAAACGGAGATCACTCTTCAACGTGCTTTCTGTTCGGAACCAAATTCCTTGCCCCTTGCCGAAGGATCAACAAACAGGCACGATAAAAGCGCAGTTGTCACGCAGGTTTCACGTTCATGAATTATATTCACAACTACATCATTGCTCCTTTTCCCATTCCAACCAGACGTGGGCCGACAAATCTGCGATGCATTAGTTGGAAACGATGCACAACAGGTTCCAGTATTGTGAAATATTTTTTCTGGGTTTCTGAACCAAAATGAGAGATGAATAGCTAGGTACCCTTACACGGTATACTGTATTTCGTCGCTCGATTGTTCTGGTTATAAACTTACACGCTCGCGTTTAATTTACTTCTTGCGTCAATCAAATTCACGCACAACGTAGAGTACGAATGACGACAAGCCGGACGACGGTGTTTGCCTGGATAGAGAGCAAACAACTGATGCTCTAAGCAGTTAATTTTGTTATTGTGAAGCCACAATCAATTTTCATGCACGTAAGACAGCTCTCGGTTGATACGATAGTCTTTACTACGCTAACGTTAAATGGGCGTCCTTTCACGTTTCTGCTGCTTTAAAGCACTTTCCTCACAAGGCGACATTTTCGCCACGTGCCGCTTTAAGCTTTTGTAAAGCCTCGGAACTTTTACAATGCCATTTGAATCATAACTTCACGAAATGTTTAGATTTTCCAACTCCATCATCGTCTATTTATGTCGTTGACTCTCTGCCTTCGACTCTGAAGTCAGCTCTAAGCGCTTTAGCGAGTAATCGATAACGAAGGATATCTCATCTTAATAGAATGCAGTGACGAAGGAGAGCACACCTCACGAACTCTGTACCGCTGAATGCGACCGCTGTTTAATTTTCTGAGCGAATGCAAACATAACCATCAACAGTGACGCATCAGTTCCTCATCTACCAAACAGAGTTCAAAGCCGTTAGCCGCTCTAAAATACGATTGCATCTAATGAAGAGACTGCATTCAAATTCTTTTCGGAATGTACAACAATCGCTATTGTCTACCACTGCGAAAACAGTCTACAAATCCGAAAATTCATGGATGACTGTTGTAGCAAACCTGGAAAGGGTTGGACAGGAATCACGAGAACCGCTGCACTGGTTAAACATTCCTAAGATGCATCGAGAATGGAACCAGAAATCAAGTATTATTCTAACGACACTCGACAACGACTAAGAATCAGATGTTTGTAAGATATACCTGGGGAAGGACTACATTTCGTATTTATCCCCAATCAGCATCATGAAAATGCACTGTACCATCTACAACATGAATACGGATGACGTTGAGGATGTAACTTGCACTGTCATGCGATTCTCCAGAGTTAGCCGTTTCTCGCTTTTCAAGATATGAATCTCGAGTGGTTAGATTTATCGGCTAAATGAGTATCACTATGAGTGGGAAGGAAGCAAAAACTCCGCGCCATAATGGCCATCTAGCAGTAGCCATTGTTTCCAAAAGAAAACAAAAGTTTCTTGAACGATGATATCGAAGCAGAGATCAATCCGGCATTGTACGGTCAAACGAAGAAATGAACCAACAAATGAGCGCCAGTCATGAAAAAAATGCATACTGGCATCCAAACAGTTATATATTTCCTTCAGTATTTGGGCAGCACTGAAAAATGGCGGCAGTCATTCAGCCCATGATATCACTACAACAAAAGCTAATCAGTGATATCCCTTTCAATGTCATCAGTTAGAAGAGACTTACTGATTAAGGCACTTACCCATACGGAAAAAGACAACAGTCGCTACTCGTAGCTGACTGTATTACTAAGTAAAACAGCGAACGACCAGGCATGACGAGTCTCAGCAAAAATCTTCCCGTCATAAGAGAAATCGGTATATCGTAAAAAAAAGAAAAATTTGAAGTAGAGTGAACGACTACCGATATTCACGCTTCATTCAGTCACCGGATACTTTCGAAAATGCTAGTTAAAAGCTACACCCTAAGGTCTTACTAACCATGCAGCTCGTACATGTTTTTGCATGGAATAAGCATTTTTCGTTGCGCGATCGGCAGACTACTTTTGATTAAGAAATGTAAAACGCAGTGCGATAAGCATCTGTTCACGGCAGGCGTTTAAATTTATACCGCCTCCTGTGCAACTTCTTAGCAGAGCACCCATGCAGGATACTAAGAAACGCCATGGAATGAGAGCATCGTGAGTAGTAAAATGACGTCATTTCCTTGGTCCGTAAATTCCTAATTATGACGATATTGGTCTAAACCAAAGTTTTAAAGATAAAATAATGCTTCTGCGTGAAAAGGCATTACAAGTGGGCCATGAATCTGGATTCTGCTTGACTCATAACTTCGAGTTTGCATGCGGACGTGACCAGCTTTAACCACAGTCGATGGTACAGAACTGTATCCATGCACTGTCGGTGATCAAAACCATGGAACTGAGATTAAATAGTTATAGTTAACTGATTAAATAGTTCTCAAGGCGTACAGAAACAATGAAGCAGTGCAACATCGCCACACAACACGGAGTATTGACATATACCGTTATCCGCTATACAGCTATTGGTGTAAAACCAAAAGATTAAAATACGACTCAGCTGTGTAGAAAATACTGCAAAGATTGACGGTGTGAGCTAACAATTTATTGTAATCACAGCTCCTTATTCGAACTTTAAATCTGCCTAAAGTCGTGTTTTTCACGAGACAGAACTACGAAATACTTCTTCGCGAAAGCTGATTTCGAAGTTTCAACTCTGTACGCTGAGCTTTTATCAAAGACTGCAAACAATTTGCAGTATACGTACCCAACTTCCAGACGGTCCAATTACAGCGGATCGTAAGTTCCTATACTAGGGTCAACAGTCAACATCGCGAAACTTTGTGCATAAAAGTTTAGTCGACCACACATTTCACTAAGCAAGAAGCATATTTAAGCCTCAGGATTTCCAGAATAATCGACTGACCACCTGTGAAAAACTTATTTTAACAGCAGTCTTCGGAGTGATGTATCTCTGCATAAAACAAACAGCTGCTTTTCATAGGACTGCATTTCACTGCTTGTCAACAGCTGCTAAATTCACAAGAGCCTGTCGTTTCTTAGACGAAACAAACGGGAGGGGCGGAGAGGGGGGGACGATGCTGCAGTTCTTTTGGAAAAGGCTGCCCAATGCCGTTAATTCTATAGACCGTCCCGCCCATTTTGTTAACCTTAAATGTCGCCACTGTTGCGGCATAAAGTGCATGCTAAAGCTGCTAGTCAACCTACGTGGATGTGAATTGCAGTTAAGTAAAGCAAGCTGCTATTTCAATCGTAGCGAGTGCCGCTAAGCTCGTAGAAAACATCCTCGCAGACACTGCACATTCCTTTCGTAGCAACGTAGTTGCACTGTTATACCGAAACATGCAGCAACGCGTAGTAATTTTAAACATATTACGATAGTCAAGAGTGAAGGTTTCGCACGGACCATGTTTTTCCTTGTCATTCACTACAAAGTCAGAGTAGGTACCGCCGTATTTGCTTGATCGAAAGGAATTTTTCCACTAGCACGCTACAAAGTTAGGATGTACTGAAAGCGACAAAATAGAACTTAAATCTCTAAAATGCGTATTCACAGTAATTTTCGTGTCACTAATTGCTAAAAGAGGAAAAAGAATAAGGAAAAAAGAGAGAATAGAAGAAAAAAGAGGATGAGGAAAAAAATTAAGAGGGAAAGGACGAAGAAAAACAGGAAGCGGAAATCAAAAAGAGAAAAATGGGAAAAAGAAAGCTTATTCGCATATGCAACAGATCTGATTTCGGCACACAGCAGTATTTATAATGTGAAGTTTTATGTATAATTTGCATTATAAATTTATAATCTTAGTAAGAAAAATGTAAACTGTTACCTAAGAACAGAAAACCGCAACGACTGTGAGGCTGCGATCGTAAACTTTGTAAAAGTATACGTTCTGCTCTTTTAGATTCTTTATTGCCTTAGACAGGAAAGTTTGTCTGTGAAACTTCCGTATTTATTTGCACACTGCTGAGTTGCTCCGAGACCGAAGATTGGCAAGGTTCGGCCACCTGCAAGCAAACGGCCAAGCTTCATAGACTAGACAGTTGCAGAGCTGGCAACCGAAA